ATTTCCAAGCTGTGGGATTTTCTGACTCCACTCTACTGTACGTCAGCAGCCTCTTTACATCTATCCACAGGCAGCCAGTTTTATTTAAAAGGCTGGGCATGTTGAGAGCAGCCTTTTCACGTATCTGCAGGCCTTCTAAAAGCGGCCAGCCAGCCTTCCCAGAGGGCAGTGGGCATCTCCAGTTATCCCGACGCGGACGTTTGTCTCTGGCGACCGCCCATGGCCTGCTAGCCGCTCACCTTCCAGGGCGGGTGAGACCTTACTTAGCGCTCTCGAGAAGTGTGGCTGCTCCAGCACAGCCAGCCGCATCAGGCCAGGACCAGATCTGGGCAGTTCTGCAGTCCGCACTGGCTGAGCTTCCAGAGCCCCCTTCCTGGGTCCTTGGTATGATGGCCCAGCCCTTGTGGATCAGTGGGTTGGGGGACCCTGCGTCTGCCATGGCCAGGCCAGCGGGGTTGGGGAGTTGGGCTGGAGACCCTGCAGCCTGAGGAGTTCTGGCTCCAAGGCCACCGCTGCCACCAGGTCACCCAGGTGGGGTGGGGATGCGGCTTCCCGTGCTCAGAGCCTGGGCCCAGCCAGCAGGTGGCCACAGCGAGGGACCCAAGCACTGCGGGGCAGAGGCGCAGCTGTCCTCGCGCCCCCCCATCCCCCGGCTGGAGCAGGCCAGCCTGCAGCTTCTTGTCCTGCTCTGCGGGAACCCCTCTAATGCTTTTAACCGGCATTTCTGCCATAAGTGAAGCTGCACCTGTTCGGTTTTTCCCCTCTCGTAACGTGTCTGCATGCTTTTTACCTGTTCTTTCTCTGATTTACTTGGCCTTTCCCTCTTACAATGTCTGTGACTCTCAGAGGGTTTGTCATTTAGAGGACCACCCTAGCTGTGTTTGTGTTCCTAAACTTTAGGAAGCCTGGGCCCATCGTGAGGTTAGGAAGGCACCTTGCCACCAGCCCTGGCCGCTTCCCTTTTGCCCGTGCCCAGCCCAGCATGGCACTGGCCTTTTCCCACGTGAGGCAGGGGTCACCTCTCTTCCCAGGGTGAGGTGCAGGGCCTCGAGCCGGCTCCTGGCTGCCCCGCTCCCTGCTGGCCACAGGGAGCCGGGTGCCCCCAGCTCTGCTCCGACTTCATCCTAGGCTGCGGTCTCTGTGGGGTGAGAGGGCAGGGCCTCATCTCAGGCCCTGGGGCTGCGGGTGCAGACAGGTTGCCCCAGACAACCGCCAAGCAAGCCACGAGCCCAAGGCAGGCCCAGCCTCCGTGGAGGTGCGCTCGTAGGCGGCTCGGGGGTTCTCTACTACTGCTCTCTCAGCATATTCTGATTGAGTTGGTTTATGGGAACGTACAGGCGGTCTTCTGCCTGGCTATCTTGCTGAACGCTTGTTACCTCGAACAGTGTGGGCTCACTGACTCCAAACAGGAATGGCCCTGTCCCTTCCTCACGGTAACTGAGCCTCTTGTCGTCTCTGCCTTTGGTGCCTGGAAGGCCTCAGCCTGCCAAGCCCCACCAAGCAGGGGTGGTGCCCTGCGCGTCCCCTCCCACCCATCCCAGGGTGTACTGCCAAGGCCACGTGTCCCCATGTGTTGTGGGTTTCCCTGGCAAGCTGCAGACAGGCCCTTGCTGCTCCGTGTGCTGCAGGCGGTGTCCACATCTTGAGATGACCATGTGGCCCTTCCTTCCGTTAGTGTGGTGGGTTTGTCCACTGATTTTCCAGGGCCCAGGCTAACCTGATTGCAGAGTGGGTAAGCTTGACTCTGTGTGTGTGTGTGTGTGTGTGTGTGTGTGTGTGTGTGTGTGTGTGTGTGTGTCTGGTTGGATTTGGGTGACGGCTTGCTAATCTGTAGGCCTTGCGTGTGTGATGTTTTCCCGACATGGCTCTTTGTAGATTTGCTGTCACAGCTGCAGTGACAACACCAAATAATCTGCGATGTGCATCTGCCTTTTCTCCCCTTCAGAAGAGCGAGGGTGTCTTGGAGGTCACAGCTTGTGCGGTGAGCAGCGGCCATTGACTCGGTCTCGGAGGCCGGGGCATGCAGCAGGCGGTTCCCAAGGCCCCTCCTTGGCTGGCGGTGCCATCCTCGTGGTCGGCACTGTGTCCCGGCCTCCTGCTGGAAGGACACCGCTTGGGCTGGACGAGGGCCTCGCCCATGACTGCATCTTAGCTGCCTTCCCTCTGGACACCTTGCGCCGCCCTGCCGTCAGCAGCGGTCACATGCAGGAGGCCAGGGCTCCAGCAGACAAACGCAGGCACACAGGCAGTGGAGCAGGCGGTGCCCATGGCAGTATGCCTGGCTTTCTGCCGCGCGGTGCTGACGTTGCCCAGGAAGCCAACTGCGTGGCTTCTCCTCCCCCGTGCACCGTGACCTCTGGACGGCACCAACATGCGTGTGTGACAGGCACAGTAGCAGTGTGCGCTCCCATGAGTCTTCTGTTCAGGAAGCACCTTCCTAAGCAGATTTCTAGGCAGGAAGGAGCCAGAAACTAGGCCATGTCCCACTGTCGGAGGGCCACGGTCAGCCTGTCTCACCCCGCACGACCTGGTCACCAAGCGCTTCCTGTGCGCTCCGTGTGCAGCCGGTCCCAGGAAACCCACACCAAAGGGTGCAGTAGGCAGGTGGACTCCAGAGGGTGGCAGCAGCCGGGGCTGGAGGAACCAAGGTAGAGTGGCGTGGCCACGTGACTGGGCCAGCGACGGCAGGTCTGTCTTGTCTCTGCAAGTGGGGCTGCAAGTGGGGCTTGCTGTGCCCAGGCTGCCAGCTGGCTTACACCTGCTGAGACAGGCAGGACACCTGGTGGCACCAAGGGACAGCGCGTGTGCCATGTGTGAGGTCACCTGAGGCGGATGGCAGGGACAGGCGACCCTGGGTTCATCCCAACCTGCTGGCACAGAGGCCAGAGGCTCCTGTGGGGCGCCATCTGCACTGCAGCCTCATCTCCTTGGGATGCCCGGGGGTAGCAGGGCTCGCTGGGCTGTGAACGGCCTGGAGAAGCGTGAGGACCTGCTGTCGGGGAGGGTGGGGCTGTGTCCCAGCAGGCGACACCACTGTTGGTAAGCACAGTGCTGCCCTGCGCGTCACGGTGGTGGCGATCCTGGACTCCAGGCCAGGCCCTGATGTGGCTGCCTGGCTCCTTGCTGTTCATCTGCCTTGCGGCAGGCACAGGGCAGTCCAGTAAGCCGGGCAGCAGGATGGCCAGGGGCACGTGCACACTGCCCAAGGCCAGTGTGCCTGCGGCAGCTCCTTGGGCCGGCAGCTCGGCCGGCACAGGCCACTGCCTGGAGCACATCCTGTAGTGCAGTGGCCGGGGGAGCCACGTGGGGTCATCCCCGGGGGAGGCTGTGGGCGCCTCTGTTCACTTGCATGTCCCTGCACACACTCACACCCCACTCGTTCACAGGAGCTGGCCTGGAGACCGACTCGCTTTAGCCCAAGCTGTCCAGGTTCTGGACAGTCATAGGCATGGGGAGACAGACACACAGGACCCCGGGACCGTGGCATTGTGCGGAAGAGGGCAGTGGGAGGCGTGAGGCCCACAGCGCACTGCTGCTAGGGAAGGGAAGATCAGACATTCTCAGCCACTGCCCAGCGGGAGTAGGTCTTCCTGTGGCTTCTGGGAGGTGGCAGGAGCCGTGAGCAACAGCCTGTCCCTTCACCCACAGCTGCAGCACCCACAGCACTAGACCTGAGCCAGCAGCTTTGGGAAAGCCTTCCTCCTAACGTGGTATGCTTCCAAGCCCTCCCGCCGGGCGTCTCAAGTCCTAGCTTCTGGGCAGCAACGGCCCTGGCAGCCAGCTCAGGCCGCGGATATCTCAGGAGAGCTTTCAGGGCCAACTGGCAGGCAAGGGGGCTGCAGGGACCCCACTGCTTGGTGCCAGGGCCACGTGGGAGCGGACCCAGGACACGCAGAGAGGCCCCTGGCGTCCCCCAGCCCAGACGCGGAGCGCGCGGAGGCCAAGGGCAGCTCACAGCTGCAGGTGCACAGGCAGCTTTTATTGGGCTGGTGACTGCTGTCTCTTGGGACAGCTGCCCTCCTGAGCAGCACAGGGGCAGCCCCCGGCCTGTGCTCTGGGGGGGCAGGGCACTCTGTCCCGGGCCTGGTGTCCTTGGCAGTTGAGGGCCCTGGCACACCCACCGGCAGGAGCCACACGCACCCCACCAGGGACCAGGATGCTGCTGTGCATAGCCATACCCTACAGCCAAGCCCAAAGCGGGAGCAGCCCTTCTAGGCAGGTGGCCACAGGGAGCTGGGGCATGGCGCAGGAGACGTGTCAGGGGGCACCAAGCCCTCCCTGGCAAGGCAGGCTTGGCCCATCCCAATGCAGGAAGCTGGGGGTTCCCTGGAGCCTCTGGTGGCCTCTGCCCAGCAGGGACTGGCCTGGCCACCCCAGCCCAGGGGCAATGCCTGCGACTCCATCGGGTTCTGGGGCTTCCCTGTCCTAAAACCAGAGTGCTTTCTGTCGCTAACAACGCTGTGCTGAGGACTTCTAGGCACTTTCTGAGCAGGCAGCAGGCAGGCCAGTGTGGGCACAAGCTGGACGTGTCCAAGACATGCAGTGGGCAGCCTGACCTGGGTGTGTCTACCTGGTGGGCAGGTCCCCCAGTATTGGCCCTGCTGTCCCTGAGCTGCCTGCCCTGATCTCAGGAGCCTGCCCTTTCACCCCAGCATCTTGAGGAGGTAGGGTTCACAGCCCTGCCTGCAAGTAGAGGGGTCCCCAACAGCTGTTGGCCCCAGAGGAGCAGTGCCCACCCCAGGTCTGTTCCGGGGTGCCCCAGCCCAGCCCAGCCAAGCTGCTGACCTGCCACACGGGGTTTGATGCCCACTCTGTGGAAGGCCAGTGCTGTCTGGGTCTAGGTCAGGTGGGCACCACAGCAGGTGTTTTTAACCCTGCAGCAGGTGAGCCCAGGTGTCCTGCAGCCCTGGACCAGAGCCCCAAGTGTCTGGGCAGCTGCCCTGGAACATGCAGCCTGCAAAATGCAAGGGTTGTCAGGCGCTGGACGAGGGGCACCTCGGCCCGCAGCCTCTGCCCTGGAGGAGCCTGTGGAGGCTGCGGACAGCAGCCTGCATCCGGGGCTAATTGTGCTTCTCGTGTCAGGTGTTAGAAACAAGGCTTTGCTTTAGAGGAGAGTAGGGCAGGCCAGGAACCTGCCAGGAAGTCTCCAGCCTGTGACTTCTGTGCCAGCAGAGGGCGCCCTCGCTGGCTCAGGGCTGTCCACAGACCCGCGCCCAAGCCCCATAATAGCCTTGAGGGCACTGTCATGATGGGCGGCTCCTGGGTGGGTCGTGGGGCTCCTGCACCAGGTCCCCAGGGTGCCCTTCCCTTCCCAGTCTCCTGTCCTCCAGGAGAACCCAGTTGTGGCCATGCAGAACAAAGGACTCAGTGTCGAGTCCCCACCTGTCCCCTCCTAGCCACCAACCCTTCCCCTTTGCTGGGTCCTGGTCACGAGTTGCGGTACAGCTGTGAAGAGACACAGGTCAAAAACAGTTTTGTAAAAACAGGTTAGAAAATGCTTCTCGCCAGCTTCCAGGGCGGTGCGGAGGCCCCTGCACTCACATCCCGGGAGCCACCATGAGCAAGCGCCCATGGCTGGAGCAGGCAGGGCTGCTCCCTCCCAAGTCTTTGCAGCAGCCCGCAGAAGCCCAGGTCCGGGTCTCAGAGCTGGGTCTCATCGCGGGTCTCAGGGTTGCAGGACGACAGTTTGTGGCTGCAGCTGCTCTTGTGGCCCGGGGAACTACTGGCCATGTGGGCCAGGGGGTCAGAGCGGATGAGGTACCTGCGAAGGACAGCAAGACCCTGGAGCCACAGGACCCCTGCCCGGGCCGCCCCCAGGACCCATGCCACTCCCACGCCTGGCGAGATAGGCGGTGCACTCACACAATGTCGTTGGGCTCCAGCCGCGTGTCAGGCGGGGGGTTGATGAGGACATAGGAGAGGGTGTTCTGCTGATCATTCATCTCATCTGCAAAGGACACAGCCGCGGGACATCAGCACCTGGCCAGGTGTGGAGCTACTGGGAGCTTGGAGCCAGGGCGGAGATGCTCTTGCCCGCCCTACATCAGTGGGTCATGTGGTCGGACCCACACCCTGGAGCTCAGCTGGCCCAGGCCGCCCGCAGAGGGGCACTGCAGCAGGGTGGGCCTGAGCAGAGGCGGCGAGCACACCCCACGCGCCAGCTGACACAGCTCCCCTGCACACACCTACGACCAACCCCCGTGTATGCCACGTGTGCACACACAGCTGCACTCATGTAGCCAGGTGTGCTCGTGTGACGCGGCCCATTCCATGCCCTTCCTGCCGCCCTGCAGCATCCCATCCCTGGACAGCCTCCCCACTCCAGGCTCAACCTTTGTCTGGACCTGTCCCAAGCAGCCCCAGCCCAGGGCACTCACTGAGCTCATGGATCTGAGAGCAGGACCCGGGGCCAGGGCTGCCCACCTGGACACAGCCCCACATACAGGCTGGCCCTAGTGCCACCAGAAGGCGAGGATGGCATTGGGCCAACCCCAGTCATCTCCTAGACATCTGCACTTGGGCAGGGTGCCCCTGCCAAACCCAAGGACAGAAATGCGGCCTGTGTGCTGGCCGTGGTCCTGAGCCCACCGGCCTCAGTTTACCCACATGCTATCCAAAGGAATTCCGGACTCCCAGAAAGACAAAACTCCTCCAAGACAGGACATCTCCCAACCTTCTGCTTTGCCCTTGCATATCCTCACAGGAGAAGCTGCTGGCCATGCCACCCAGGAGGGCCTGGGAGGGCTGCAGCGGGGCTTGAGACACCTTGAGTCCACCAGGGATGCAGCTTTCATGCTGAAGTCACAGCTTGCACGGAGAGGGCGGGTGGACTTCTGGGACCTGGCCTGGCCAGCTAGGCCAGCGCCCCTACCCTTGGCTGGGGTGGGTGGGCCTGACCACCCTGCCCCTATGTGACACGGAGCTCTTCTGTCCTAGGCGTATGGCCAGCAATTCCCCTACCCACCCTTTGCTGGCCCCAAGAGGGGCTGTGGACTCCAGAGCCCCATACCTAGACCACAGCCCCCAGCTGTATGCCACGCCGTGGTGGGCACAGCGCAGCCACTGCAAATGAGAGCAGGCCGAGCTGGGCCTGGCTGTCTGCTTACTGGGGCACTGGGTGGGTCTGGTACATGCACTGACCACTGGGCCGGCCAGCTGGTTGTGCTGTCCTGAGTGGCCATTCCCGTCCACACGTGGGGCTCAGTTCTTAGCAATGGTGACAGACACCCACTGAACCCCTGTGCCAGACCCTTGCCCAGCACAGCAGACTCGTCCCACCTCTTTGAGCTCCACCTTCCGGGCTGGATGTCCTGCTCATTGAGCCAGAGCCTCCCCTGCCCAGGCCAAGCTTTCTGTGGTCCCTTCTGCACCCCGTGGGCCTTGCTGAGGCCACCCTGGGGTGCCCCTCCAGCAGGACTCTGCCCTGCTTTCCCTCCTGGCCCAGGCACCCCCAGCTGTCTGCTTGGGGAGTTCTGTACAGCTCCTGCCACAGACCCCAGTGCCAATCCCCAGCCAGCATACAGGTGGCGCTCAGGAAGTGCCACTTGCAGGCACATGTGAGCCTGGTGGCCCTCAAGGTCTGTAGCTGCCCACCCTGCCAGGGACCCGTGGGGATGCAGCACAGCCAGGCATGGGGCAGCATCCAGTTCGTGGGAGCCACCAGCCCTGGCCGAGCCCCAGCGCCCAGCTCTTCCATGAACCAAGCCAGGCGTGAGGAGGGGCAAGAGGGTAGCAGATGCCGAGGCCTCACCCCCGGGCAACTCAGCCATCCCAGCATCCAGGCCTCGCGGGAGCTAATGCCTGCCTCCCCACCCTGGGAGGCCCCAGCACCCTTGGGTGGCTAGGCACCCAAGGCCTGCACTCTGCCTTGAGCTCCGGGGCCTCGGATGGGCACCTAGGGAGGAGTGCGTATAGGTCAGACTCGACCCAGCCAAATGGAAATTCCTGCTCCTGAAGCCCCAGCAGAGGTTGGGGGAGTGGGCCCCACCTCCGCCTGGCTCCAGGAGCCCTCAAGCCCACACACATCAGGGCCACCCCAACCCAGGCTTCCAGCGTGCTTCGGAGTGGAGCGTGGATCTCTCCCAGGCTGGCCGCAGAGCTTGCAGGGGCCTGCGTGCCCCTGCCCGCCAGGCTCAGGCAGAGGTCAGCCTCACCCTCTGCAGTGGGATGGACAGCCTTGGGCTGGCAGGCTCGTGCCACTCGCCAGCCACCCCGGGCCAGCACAAGCCCCGACGACCCCGTGGAGGGTGAAGTCCAGCCAGGGGCACACCCAGGCCCTGCCTGACAGGAAGAGGCCCGGCCCTCTCTCTCCTGCCACTGCCTGGCCCTGCTGGGGTGGCAACCGGCTGGCGTGTCCCTGAGCAGTCTGCGTCCACCAGGGCAAAATTACCTTGCAAATATCCCAGGTTTACCCGATTCATGACATCACTGGCTGTTAAATTTGCTACGTCCTCTAAGAACACGCAGGAGAGGCACAGACAGAAACAGAGAGAGAGAGAGTCAGCAAGCCTCGGGGCGGGCGGGGGCAGGCAGCAGGGGCCAGCTATGCGGCAGGCATCACAGCCATGGTGACAGTGGTGGCAAGAGCCACCTCAGAAAGCCAACAGGAAGCGGGCTGGCTGCGGGTTCTTTTGGGTGTGCAGGCATCTCAGGGGCCGGAGGGGTGTGGAGCAGGCACTGGCGCTGGCCTCTCCACCTGCCCACACCCACCATGGGCTGTGAGAAGAGGACCCACTCCAAGCCCTGGTGGCCACGTTCTGAAAACGGACAGGGACAATGAGGTATACTTCAGGTCACCCCTCAGAGGAGCTGCTGCCACCCTACACCCAGCACACCAGGCCTGGGGGGGACCCGGCCACTCCTTCCTCTTGGAAGGCTCAGGGCCCGACCCACACGGTAGACACGAGCAGCAGCAGCCTAAGCCATAGCTGGGCTTCACATGGAGCCCGAGGGAGGCTGGGCCAGGGGGTGGAAGTGGGTGGCAGTGGCACAAGCCAGGGTGGGGCCAGGCCCCTCAGTCCCCAGCAGCAAAGGCAGCAGCTCCACAGGAAGTAGAGGGCCCAGGCTTCTGCCAGCTGAGCACTTGGTCCAGCAGGCACCTCCCAAGCAGGGCCCAAGAGGGTGCTGCGTGAGTTGAATCAGCCACAGGGGCGCTGTGAGATCCCGTGGTAGCTGAGATGGCTGCGAGGCCCCAGAAAGGTCAGAGGGCAGAGGGAGCATCCCAGTGCAGCTGTCCCTGTCCCCGTGGCAGAGACCCCTCCACCATGGCCCTGAGATGGCACAGATTTTGGGCTTGGCCCTCCCCTAGCCTCGGGCCCAACCACACCTCACTCTCCAGATGGGGACACCGCGGTAGGCCCACAGTGGCGAGAGAGTAGGTCATGGACCCACGCTGCCCGCCCACCCCTCGTCCCTCCACCAACGCATGTGGAAGGCGCCCATGCAGGGCCGGGGTGCGGCAGTGCTCACCATAGCCGATGGTGGGCAGCCCCAGGTGCTTCATGCGGTTCTTGACTAGTTCGGAGAGCTCCTGGCGCTCAGAGCGCCGGCACAGACTGAGCCGCTGCTGGCCGGCCCACTCGGCTGTGGGTGCCTTCCCCGAGGGCCTGGAGCCCTTACGGCTCAGCTTCCGGGCCCACTGCAGGCTCTTGCGCCGCAGCAGAGGGTGCTGGGCTGGATCGCTGCTGCCAGTGTGGCGGCCATGGGCACTGCCCCTGCCGGACCCAGCCCGTGCACCCCAGGGTCCCTTGGCCTCTCGCGTGTCTTCACACTCTTCCATGTTCACCAACACCTGCGACTGAGTGGGCAGAGGCGGGGGGCAGGGAGGCCAGGCCTGCATCTCTGTGGGTCTGGCTTTCCCCAGGATTGAACCCCCATTTGCAGATAGGGAGCCAGCTCTTGTAGTTGCAGCTTTAGGGTGTGGTTCTGCGGGCACCCAGTGCTAGGTGAAACATGGGTACCCCTCTGGGCAGCACCTCAAAGGGCCCAGGGCTGCTAGGCCAGACCGTGAACACACATGCTGGTGGCCTGAGGTGGCCAGCTATATCTACTGAGACTCATCCAGCCTCAGTTTCCCCACTAGTACAGATGGAAAACGGCCAGAGGGCCTGGACCCTGGGCGTCTCATGGCCAGTGCATCCTGGACAGGACGTCCGCCCTAGGCCTGGGGTGCTCTGGGCAGAATCAGGGTGCTCACCTGGGCTCGGAGGTCCTGGGGCTGCGGAGGAAACAGGGCCAGTCTGGGCCTGGGGTGCAGCTGCTGCCCGACCCCGTGCCCCCGCGCTGGGGTCCCTGCGGCGCCAGGCTCCGCCCTCCCCTGGATTGGAGGACCCCGTGCAGTCCCGCGCAGTCCTGCCAGCCGCCACCCGCAGCCCACCTCAGAGGAGAAGACATGGCACTCGGTCCTGTAGATGCCAATGGGGATCTCAGCGCTGGAGGAGCAGAGCTTCTGGAAGAGGCGGCCGTAGGTGCGGATCCACAGGTCGTCCTCCGTGACCTTCATCTGCAGAGGCGGGCCCTGAGCCTGGGCC